GGCTTGCAATTTCCTTATCCTCATTAAAGTGATATTAAAGCTTTAGGTTTCTTTTTATTTATATCGGTGGGAGGCTGTCTTTATTGGAAATCTTTGGGTTTCTTTTTTTAATCTCTCAATTCCTCATTTTCTAGTTGGTCCCCCGCATCCTCTCTCCCCCCACCTCCTGGACGGGTGCTGCCCACAGCTAATTGGCTGCTGTGGAGGCATCCGTGCGTGCACGTTCCCTGTCGTGCCCGCAGTAGCTGCGTGCGTCCATAAACACACAGCCCTGCGGCAGGCCACGCCCATCCTCCCTGGCCAACAGTTTGATGGACGGCAAAAGGAGGACGGCTCCTCTGCCCTCCAGTATCCTCCCCTGCAACCAGGAATTTTGGGACAAATGATCGCTTCAGGGACCAGCGGTGGTGACAAGCGGCATTGACAGGTAAGTGTGGGGGGGCGGGGGGGATGGGGGAGTCAAAAAGGTACAGGGCATTTTTAACCTTTAAAGTATATTTAAAGTATTTAGTTTTTTTGGCATATATCTAGTGCTAGCAAGCAGTAGATATATGCCCCATGATTTAAAATAAAAAACTAGGCAAATACCTAATGGTTACCTGTTCCAGCGCTGCTCGCTCCTAGCTCACAAACGGCTGTGAACAACGAAGTGCGCGGGCACATGCGCAGCAGAGCGGAGGGAGAGAATAAACAAATGCAGTGAATTGATGCAGCCGTGAACGCGCACGCTGGACAGACACCGTGGGACACAAGGAGTCTGCGGTGGATCAGAGATGGGCAGCAGTGCTTGAGGGACTGTCGGAAATGAGGGGAAGAAAAAAGATGATCGCAGCAAGAAGCATCAAAAAAGGTAAGAGCTTACAGCAACATGGTACACGGTACATGGCGCAAGAGTTTAATGTCACTTTAATGCAGAGTATGCCTTAAGGTAAAAAACGCCCGGCCTTTAATACTACTTTAAGGATATCGGACAGACGCAACTTTTTTGGAGAAGATTCTTTCATTTGGCAGAGTGGCAGGCATGGATAGTTGTCATGTGACCTTAATCTAAGAGTTACTACAATCTTTGTTTTTGTTTTTCCTAATTAACCGAGGTGTCTTCCCTAAGTAATGTTTTTTGCTTTTCTCCTTTATTCAATATTCCCACTCCTATGAGACTCAGACACTGAAGTCATCCACAGTTCATTGACAATATAGGAAGCTCACTTTCTACTGTGTATGATAAATGAATTTCATATATGCTGGTACCTACCAGTCTTCAGAAAACACAAAGAGGGGCGCCTTTCCTGGTGCAGATAGGTTTATTCCAATAAATAGGTTAAAAATGAACTAGCAGGTACTCACAAGAGTAGAATGATAACAAGCTGCAGGACAATGTAAAAACCGGAGCAATGAAGGGATCCGTGTAGTACGTCCTGTGTGTAGGTAGATGAAGTGTCGACACGTTTCTGGGGCACGCCTCCTTCGTCAGAACGTGATTCTAGCCTCCTCCCTGCTGTAGCTAAAGAAGGGACAGCATAGACGTGATTGGACAGGGCACTTTGTTAGGTACACCTATCTATTACTGGGTGGGCACTTTTTTCTTTACAGAAGCCCCTGAATTCTTTGCGTCATTGATTACAGTTTCTGGAACTGTCCTTAGAGCCATGGTGGCTTGAGAGAATCGCATAGTTCCTTCCAGTTTGTCAGCCGCACAGTTGCAGTTGAAATGGAGATTCATTGGGCAAGGCAATATTTTGTCCTTTTGGTTTTGGTGATCCCATGCCCAATGTAGCTTTATTTTTCCTGTCCTTGGCTGACATCTGAAACATTGGACCACATCCGCATGCTTTATGTATTGACTTTGGCCTCTTGATTTCATATTCAACTCTTCGTGAACGTTATAGCTAACAAAGTAGTTTCTTGGTGTATTTAATGGATTATATTTTGTTTTAAAATAGGAATAAAAATCACTTGCTATCTGTACGTACTAAAGGTCTGCATGCTATAGTGCTCCAGAAGAAACATTTTTTGAATTCAGTATGTCAACAGTATAACCTTGAAAGGAGAAACATATAAGATATGAATAACAATCTAAAATGTAATGTTCTCTTACACCTTACATTTATTAGGAAAAACCTGAAGAGTAGAGAGCTGAAGCTACAGATCATGCTGAGACACATTAGTGTTAGTCAATGTGTTACAACAAATGCTGTAAACAAATAAAAGATGCAGGTGAATGGTTACAGCAAAACCTTTTGTTAAAGTTTGTGTTTACTGTAGAATTTTCTCTAAATTTGAGGTTTGTTTCTGACTTGTTTTTACTGAAGAATGTAGACAATTTTAAACAACTGTCTTCATTGATTCACTGTTACACTGTTGTCTTTTCATGCAGGCAGCAGAAGGAAATATTGTGGTGAGTGCCTCCTCTGACCATTCCCTGACCGTCTGGAAGGAATTGGAGCAGAAACCGTTACATCAGTTCAAATCAAACTCTGACCCCATTCATGCTCTTGATCTGTACGGCAGTGAAATTATAACCGGCACTGTGGCAAACAAGATCGGCATTTATTCTCTCCTGGATTCTTCTTCACAACCGATTACCACAACTAAACTCAGCTCCGAGAACTTCAAGGGCACCTTGACCAATCTTGCTGTCCTGCCGACCAAGAGACTTCTACTCTTGGGCTCTGATAACGGCATCATTCGTCTTCTTGCCTGATGTAAATTTTCATTTTGTCGAACCACAGCAACTTCATCTTGACCATGGTGTTGCAAAACTGGATCTGAAAAGCCATAAACGTGTTACCAATATGTATGAACATTATCCATAGCTAGATCAGTTACATTTTGTTTTGTGGCAGGAGAATGTAGTTCTGTATTGTGTATCCAGGAAGTATTATACACACATTTGGTACAGCAAGCTTTTAAAACGCACCTTGTTCCATCCAAACCTAAAATAGTTGTTTCAGGTAGTTGCTGTCAAAGTAAACCGTATACTGGTTTTGGGACTCTAGCACTGAGAATTGGCGGGTTACGTCAGCTATGGAGAAAGATCTTTTAAAGCATACTTCATAAAAGTCGAGTTGGGAGTTCAGCTGCAGATATCTCATTGTCTGAGTCCCGTAAGAATTATCGGAAGCTGCCAGGTGTTTACACCTTCCAGAATCTACCCAGACTTGAAGCCCAAGTCCAGTTCTGTGAACAAATTTAAAAATTCTTCCCCAGCCTCAAAAAACCTCTCACTTCTGTCCAATACTGCAGTGTTCCTTTTGTATTTACTGGTGCCGTTGAACCCGTTATGTGTAAACCTTGAGCATCAAGGATCCACCCTAAAGCCAACTTGTGCTCACGGGAGCACCACATCATTATATGGCACCCCCCTAATATTCATGGAAGAAGAGGACCCATGATATCACACAACTGATCTAAAGTCGCCTGAAAAAAGCTATGTATAAATAGGTAACAAAAAAAAATTGGCGGTGACACCAATGGGAACAGAGGGAGAAACTGGAGTTGGGCTTTATTTGTTTTGGACACCCACACTTTAAATTTTGACCCTTAAGAGGAAATGACTGGAAACCCTGCCTACTTGTAATTGTAATGCCAGATCTGCAGCCCACATTTAATATAGTAAACTAATATAAATTGCACTTAATTGCAGTAAAACAGTGTAGTATTAGTGAAGGGGAGAAGAAACACTCGCCTCCACACTGCATTTTCTTAGTTTGCACTTTAAAAATGGCTTCTTCCTTGCTAATGAATTCTAAATTATAATTTCTATGTTAATTATGCATGTTTTAGTCCTGAGCTGAGGAGACAAATCGGTGCCATTCCTGTTGCTATTAGCAGTCGCATAGCTTATGACCAGGGATGGCCAAACTGCGGCCCTCCAGCTGTGGTGAAACTACAAATCCCATGAAGCATGTCTCTCTTGGAGTCATGTCTGCGGCTGTGAGAATCTTGCAAAGCCTCATGGGATTTGTAGTTCCACCACAGCTGGAGGGCCGCAGTTTGGCCATCCCTGGCTTATGCATTACAATCATGCTATAATATAGTTTCTTGCATAGAAATGAATAATGACGGATTGTTTTCAATTGACCGATATTTGGAAGTGAGTGAGTGATTGATTGTATATACTTATATTCTTAAGACCTTGTATTAGAAATGTAATTTTTTTTTTTTTAGCAATGTCAGCCTGGGTATCTCAGGAAACAGATATAAAATATCCAGCTGTGTTTATTATAATTCTTTATAACATCCACCAACTACTTTTCTTAAGTTTTGTTAGTGTTGCTGCCTTTATTTCTGTGGCATGGTTACATCATCCTTAGGGCTTTGCAACGCATAATTATTAGAACCTTAGGATTGTGCCACTGCTCATGTTAATTAACTTTCACAACCATGAAATTCAAAGCTAATGAATTTGTAAATGTTTTGGGGAAACTTTTATTTTGGAATTTACAAAACAATTTCAGTTAGTCCAACTTTGTCCTGGTGAAAGATCATGCATTGCATTGTAATACAGACAACCGTAAACAAATTCTTCATAAGTACATTAGGTTTGTGATCCACTTTATTTTATGTTCTCCTGTATTATGGTATGACGGTTTAATAACTTTGTCTACTGAAAATTAATTTTATATATTTTTTAGTGTTTTTAGGGCTCATTCACACAGTCACAGATGGCAGTACATCATCAGAAAGGGGCATATTCCTGGGTGTGGGTGTCACAGGTGTCAGCAGCCTATGCAAATCAATGAGAGGGTAACAGATGTGGCTGTACGTATACACCTGTGTCTCATGGGCACAGCAATATGCCCCTTCTTTCTGTGAGAATAAACCATTCCAATGTAGAGTTTTATTTTGCCTCAACATTTTCTTTTCATTTTTATACTCCCAGATTCAGTTTTTTTTTGCGCAACTTCAATAATTTTCTCGCAAATGTTTCCTCTTTTCTCTGCTTTTTAGCTTTGGATAGAGGGGAAGAGTTGAGACCTTTTTATTGTTTGTTCTCTGCATCCCATAAAGAGATTTCTCTACATTTCCTATTCCAACATACAGGTGAAATTTGAATAATTAGAATATCGTGCAAAAGTAATTGCAGTAAGAGCTGCAAAAGGGGCCCAAACCAAGTACTGAGTACATATGCATGCTTGTACTTTTCAGAGGTCCGATATTGTTCTACGTGCAATTGTTGTTTTATTGATTGCATGTAATAATCTACTTTTTTGAGGTTGTGGATTTGGGGTTCTTGGGGTTTTCATGAGCTGTAAGCCATAATCACAATTATGACAAATCACGGCTTGCATTATCTTGCTTTGCATGTAATGAGTCTATGTCATATATTAGTTTCACCTTTTTAAGTTGCATTAGTGAAATAAATGAACTTTGCACGATATTCTAATTATTCGAGTTTCACCTGTAGAACAGAAAATTCCCCTTTTTAGACAGCTGTCACAAGAACAGCTGTACCCATTGGAAGATTTCCCCTCTCCTCTTGTTCTTGTGACATCTCTAAAATGTTTTGCTTTCTCATCATTTTCTGTCATTGTGACAATGGTCACCAGGACAAATATCAAGGGTGACTTTCCCAAGAGGGGACACAGACAGTAACCCTTCTCTGCTATAGACAAAACTGAAATTATATTTTTGGCCACACACCGTTTAATTCTAAAACCTAGGGAGAAGCCTGTAATTTAGGGAAATGTCATAAGAATGTGAAAATGACAGCTGCACATTTCTAAGACTTCTTACTCTGGATTTTGTTTTTCAAATTGGTGGTGTTTTTTTTATCGGAGTGCACTTGACCTGTAGTCCTGTAACTATCTGATAAAAACATTTTCATATACCGTGTTTCTACAAAAATAAGACACTGTCTTATATATTTTTTTCCACAAAAAAATAAACTAGGTCTTATTTTCAGGGTATGTCCTTATTTTTACCTAGCTGCAGCTGTCTGGAGCTCTCCGCTATCTGCTCCAAGCAGTGTTAGTACAGGATAGTCCCGGTGGCAGACAGTACCGGGCTGGGGGAGGAGTACTCGCAGGACTGGACGAGGTCCCGGAAGCCGGCGTGCTGTTGCCGGTCCCAGTGTCGAAGTTGGCGGATGATATGCCGCTTCCTGTGGGGGGGCGGGAGTTATATGTGCAGCTACCCCGAAAATAAGACCTAGCGCTATCTTCAGGGATTTCTGTAATATAAGACCTACCACCGAACTAGGTCTTATTTTCGGGGTAGGTCTTATATTACAGAAATCCCTGAAGATAGCGCTAGGTCTTACTTTCGCGGTAGGGGAAACGCAGTACAAGCAACCTGGCAGAGGTTCAGCACAGCAGTAGTGCAAGTGGAAGATGAGTACTTATATGTCTCATGGAGAACAGGTAGAGTGAGCCTATTACTTTTCCTAGTATGTACAGGCACAGGTATGCTTTATCATAGAAAACTACTATGTGTTTATGATGTGAACAACCTCTGCTAAAATATGAAAAAACAGATCTGTGCACTCACATCAATCATCAGTCAGCAGGTTCTTTCATCAGATTTGGTAATACTTCTATAATAAACAGTATATGTAATAGATTCTTACATGGATGCTATTGTGGCTTTTTTTGTTTGTTTACAGTTTAGACGCTTAACCCCTTCGTGACTGACGACGTACAGTGTACGTCGCCAGCATCGGGGCTGTTTAAACAGACTCCCGGCGACTTTTGCCGCCGGGAGTCTGTTTAAACTTGTAGAGCCGACTGTCGGCTTTACAACAGAAGCGATCCTGGCGACTTACCTGTCACCAGATCGTCCTCATCTTTTATATTTCATTTAAAAAAATGGGTAATTTGTTGTGTTTTGGGGCATTTAATTAAATTTGTCACTAAATTTTGGGGTTTAATAAAGGAGTTGCGCTAATATTGCGCAACATAAAAATGTTCAACTACCACCATTTTATTCTATAGGGTCTTGGCATTCAGAAAATATATAATGTTGGGGGGGTTTTACGTCATTTTCAGGCCTAAAATGTGGAATATAACATGGGTGCAAAAAATGAAAAAAGGGCCTCAGTCATGAAGGGGTTAAACTATTCACGATCCTGCTATTTGAAAAAATACATTTGTGTGTATTACATGTTGGGATGTACAATAAGAAAACTCAGCACTAGCACTGCACTTGCTAACTTCTGCAGACTAAGGATCTATAGGGCACCAGTTCCACAGGACAGGATGGGGTGCAGGAGGGGCAGCTGCCCTAGGGAAAAGGTTTTAATGTGGAGGTGGGTGCTGCAGGGCAAGTTGCTCCTCCTCATCACATGCTTGCCTCTTTATCACCAGCAAGTGGTCACAACACCTACCCCCAACCCCTCTCTCGTTGCAAAGTTTTCCTGACATCCACCCCTCCAAGTCACAGCAACTCCCGACACCTTAATTCCCCCCCTACTACCTCACGTTCTCTCCTCCAGTCACCTTCCGCTCTAGTCATTGTATTTCCCTGTTGCATACCTTTATCGGCCAGTTCGCAGCACTTTCAAATTCAAACGTCTCTCCTCCACGTACCTCCTCCATTCTACCCACTTACCCCTCTCATCCAGGCACAGCACATCCCTCCTCACTTCCACTGGTCAGAGAACTTACCTCATACACCCTCCCTCTGACCTCACCTACCATCCACCTCAAATACCCCGTTTCCTCTTATACCACCTCTCTCCTACCCACCCAATCTCTTTCCCTGCAGGGGAGGGACAAAGTTTTCCATCTTTCCTTGGGCACTGGATGACTTTGTTCCAGCACTGATTAGCTGTGGAGGGCAGGGGTCATTCAGTTGTGTTTAACCTTAGGTCCTGACAATTCAGCAATAAACAAGCTATCTGATAACCCTGAAATTCTAGCTATGTACACTTACTGACTTACTAGAAAAAGGGGTAAATATGGGCCAT